CGCTCCCGGTGCCTGCCCCCACCAGTCAGTGGGGCTGCTGCTGTTTTCTATTTATACAAACGGCTGCACCTCAGAGGACCCCTCAAGTTTGTAGACAACACAGCGGCCATCGGCCTCATCCAAGACGATGATGAGTCAGCTTACAGATGGGAGGTTGATCAACTGTCCCTGTGGTGTGGTCACAACAACCTGGAGCTGAACATGCTCAAAATGGAGATGACAGTGATCTTTGGGAAGTGTGTCCGACACATTTGGCCAATAAAGCTGATTCTGAACATACGTACTTCAATTGACTTGACTGGGAGACAGAATAGCTTCACATTCACTGTTTCGGCTACTTGCCTTCTTGTTATTATATGGCAGCCAGTGACATCAGTTTCTAGACTAAAGAGCACCAAAAACATTGCCTAGAGCAGCTATAAGTCCTGCAAGTCTCTTGGTTTTTAAGGCTGGTATTGAAGAATTTTGGAGCACTGTAGAATAAATGAACAATGGGCAAAATGGAGAAATAAGTTTTGAAAAATGAGGCAACCAGTTATCTAGTGTAGTTTTCCAAAGGTTGCCTAGTGTTAAACAATAAAAAGGTGAACTTGACCTACAGTAACACTGCAAGTTGTTTCCTATACAGTCAGTCAAATGTTGCAAGTCCTAATGATGACGAAAGATGACTATGGATGCTGTGATCAAAAGTATACAGGACTGTCAACAACATAAATGTATGCTGGGTGCTCTCTTTTACTCTCATTATGTATATCTTATGTGTAAGTTTTCTAACAGCCATAGTCTGGAAGCAAAACTGTGGATAGGACATGGAGTGGTAAGGCAGAGGCTGCTTACAGTACATGTAGTGAATTATGGTGACAGTTTGCTACTGCCGATGACAGAAGAGGAAAGTGGAAGACAGAGTTGAAATAAGGAGAGAAGGGGAAGAGAACCTGGGAGGCTGAGCACCTGCAAAGGCACACGCTGTAACCTCCCTACAGTAAGTACAGCAAAATCACACACCAGTAGTGAACAGCCTTGCCACACGTCGCACATGCCTGCTCTGTCAGAATAGAGGCACAGAGAATGCACCAATTTTCTTTCTGATTTAAACAGCGTTGAAACATTTTTTTTTTCTCTAGATACCACCCTGATGCCTGGCTGCTATAAAAGGAAATATTTAAATCAGACTTTACAAATCGCATTTCTGAGAAATACAGAATAACTTGCTGCTTTGTAGTCTTTATGAGTTAACTGTTCATGTTGTCTGAATGTCTTTTTCATTTAAATGTTGTATATCATGTTCACAGCTTAAGTCCAGTGTATATATTTATGTTTTAATTCATGTTGTAAATCTACTTAACATCACCTGACCTAAACTAGGATGCATGCAAACCCATGTAAGGAGGTGAAATGGACCTGACTCCTAATGAAGCCTTGTGCCCTTGAGAACTCTCCTCCTTTCCCCTTTGCTCTGCCTCTCTCCAATATCCCTCTACTCATATGAAGTTGTTAGCAGCCTGCACCCTTCCTCCTGGGCCACATGAAGCTGTTAGCGGCCAGCACTGGTACAGAATAATGCAATGCGAAGAGAATGAAATATTATGCCACACTACTGCATAATTGCCTCTTAGCCCAAGGGAGCTCTTGCAGAAAAATGAGCAATGCGTTGAGGCTAATGGAGCTAACCACTGGTGGTGTTGGTGGAGGTGGAGGGGTGAGGTGAGGTAAAACTGCCAGGTCACGTATCCCGGTGTAATCCCACATTAGGTACACTCACACTCTTTGATCTTAGCTGTTAAAAGACTTGGAATTATGAGGATCATGGCATGATTAGGTTCAGGAGAACAAACAGAGGGTGAAAGAGGTAACGGGAGGTAGCCATGTAGGGGTAAAATTGAGAGGAGGAGAGGAAGGGGTGGGGTGGTGGGCAGAACCCTTTAATCAGAGGCACGCTGCCTTCAATAAACTGCTGTGGTGGATTGAGACTCCCAGCCAGCTTCCAAGAATGGGAGTGTGTGGTGATAGAAGCCGTGCTGACCTCTCTTCCTACTGTATTTTTTTTATTAATTCTTCTTTCCATCGTCCCTTCCTTCTTTCCTTGTTTCCTTCCATCCTTCCATCTGTTCTTTCTTTCTGTCTGCTCCTGTTGAGGCATGCTTGGTAAACTGGGTGGGGATACATCTGTCTAGGTAAATTACAGTGACTGGCATGACAGTGGGGCTGCATGTTGCAACACAGCTGCAGTCTATCTTCTGTCTTTGACCTCTACCCTTTGTTTAGAGTCAAAGGCCAGGCACCACACCCTCCCTTGATGTACCCTGTACCTCCCCCTCCCCCTCCCCAGATGTCAGAGTTCCTGTCCAGATGCCGCACTTCCTCTCATTTGCCTTTTGCCCCTCACCTATTTGGCCTTTACAACCCCTCCTGCCAAAAGTTTCCCTTTTCACTCTTGTACAGTCTTTTACAAGGTGACCGGGAAGAAATAATTAATCCCAACACCAGTGATGCTAAAAAAAATGTGTTATTGTATCAAAGTTCTGAGTGTTACAAGTGTTTTAAATTACTAGATCAAGTGTCCTGAACATAACAAAGTTTCAAAAGCCACATAGTGGCAGCAGCAGCAGCACTGAACACAACTATCTGTTTAGTGCTATATTAAAAAAAAGTGTGTGGGGACAACAGGGCAGACTGCTGAGAACCAAACAGCTGTATTTGAACAAAAAAAAAAATTCACTAATGAATAAAGGACCTAGATCTTGGCTGTCATAAAAGCTTAACTGGAAAGCTTGAGTTTCAACATGCACACAGAGAATCAGAAGCAGACAAGGCGAGAAGTGTTAAGCTTTGAAACAAGTGACAGATCTAGTCTTTGTCATCGTCTTTCTCCCTGGTTCATGAACTGGAGAGATTAGTCCTTTGAGAGAGAGGAATATATTCCTTGCAATAAATCCAGGGAGGCTCCTGTTCCACTTACTAGGAGCCCGCCGGGCATATTACCAGGGCACTGCATGGTCAGGCAGAGAGCTCTGGATTAAATCAAAAAGCATTAACTGCAACCAATCTGGCAGCTGCATCCTGCTGCTGGGACTGACCCAGCCATCTAGCCCTCATCATCCAGAGCACTCTTGTCTGATTCGTCTTCCTTCTCCATTATTGCCAACCAGTAAAAGTGATTGCATTTGCAAGAAAGTAGCAAACAACTGCATAACTGTGCTTTTATTGCAAGACGAAAAAACTAAAAAACACATTTATCTGTCTCTCTGGTTGATTGCCACCCACCCACTCCTACTGAGCCAGAACGAATTTGCTGCTGTGAAGTGCTTGCAGGAGCACAGTGAATATCTGGATTTGATTGAGGAGATCTCTTGTGCACTAGCGAAGGATTAAATGCAATTGACTTTACACCTTAGGACAAAAAATGACCAAAAACTATCCAGGATTCAAAGATTTGATCCACCAGTCATTGTTAAAGAAATCCTGAACCTGTATAGGTGTTATTATTTCAGAGGAATAACATTTCATTCCACTGTATATCTGTGCATATTGTGGAATGACAATAAAGCTTC